GTAGTAGTAGTAGTACTACTACTACTACTCCTCCTCCTCCTCCTCCTCCTGCTGCTGCTGCTGCTGCTGCTGCTGCTGCTACTGCTACTGCTACTGTTACTGCTACTGCTACTGCCATTGCTCCTGCTCCTACTCCTACTCCTATTCCTACTCCTACACTGCTGCTGCTGCTACTACTACCACTACTGCTGCTGCCACAACAACAACAACAACTACTACTACTACTACTACTACTGCTACTACTACTACCACTACTACTACTGCTACTACTGCTACTACTGCCACTACTGCTCCTACTACTACTACTACTACTACGACGACGACGACGACGATTACTACTCCTACTCCCACCACTACTCTGACTACGTAACTGCTACTGTGCTACTCTCGTACGACGGCGACCAGCACCAGCACCACCACCACCACCACCATCACCACCACCACCACCACTACTACTGCCTCGTAGACATCGTGCATCTTTGCTATCTGATACAGGGTTGTGCAAGAAGAATGCACCCGCAAATCCACTTGCTTTGCACCCGGCCAGGTAGCACAAGAGTCGCAGAAGCCTCTGCTGCTGTGGTCCACCACAGCGACCCTGGGCCACAAAGCCCCTTGTGCATGAACGCAAATTTGGTGTGGCTGAGCTCCAAACCACCCTTGGTTACTGAATGTGCGCTTGGGGTTGTTCTGAATTGGGGCTCACTTTCATGTACTCATTGAACATAGTCACCTATTCCAAGAGTAAACAAGCAGACTCGGAAGCTGTGCATCTACCGGCCAGCTCCCCTTGATATTGTTGGGATATCGGTTAGTCTCCGGAACCCGAAGTGCAACTGTGGAAAGGGGCCTCAATATAGAACGATCTTACACAGTCCAGGTGGCGAGCCCGGCGCAGCAGCTGACCTCGACAGAGGCTATCGGAGAGGCAACCGAGTTTGCAGTCTCTTCCTCATAGCACGGACAAAGATTGCAGATTGCTGTCGTCTGCTGTCGCCTGCATGCTGTGGCAATTGCTGGACGGAGAGTCCTCTGACCACCGAAAACGGAAGAGCTTGACACTGGCGTTCGGAAAGGTTCGAAACCTCCGGCAGATCTGGCGTGACGGCGGACTCAGTCAGGAAGTGCATCCAATGGATTAGAGCCTGTTTCTTGCTTTCTGCACTTGGACCAGGAGCTATAGTAGTGTTTGGGTGCTCCACAGTTTTCTCTCACACTGGCTCCTTTACTCTCCCAGTCTCCTCCTCTCCTTCTCTGAGGTTTGCAAAGTAGAGTGGCAGATGTATGTGTGTATGCGACGGAACGACGAGTAAGGGCACACGTGTGATTTCCCGCTTCCGCATAGTGGCGAAGCTGCTTGCGGGAGAACCCGGCGTAGTAGAGGCGGGGATCTTGACCGGCCTGGCCGGGTCTCGTTCCCGCGGCCTCCTGTACTCTACTGCCTTATTTCGGGATGCAGGGCTTTTCCCCACGAGCGGCTTTTCCTTGCATCTGTTCAACTTCATGACCTAGGTCCAGGTCTTGAAGGTAGCGGCGACTTTGATCCAGAGAGCTGGTGATACTACCTTCTATCCAGATCCTGGAACTTGCTGAACTCGCAGCTTCATTCTCATGCAAGGTGCCATCGGAGTGCGGCGACTTCTGCGAGGTGCTGCAAGGCTCACCCTTCAGTGGCGTGGCTGCAAAATCCAGATAAGCAACGGAAAGCATGGAGAGTAAGCCTTGACTTGGAAACTAGATCTACAGAAAACGTGTCGTTGGCTTGGTTGGCTTAGAGGGATCCTCGAAATATTTACCCGAAGCACGTCGACGAGGTGGTCGGCAAAGTCGGTGTCTTTTCCAGTGATGCTACGCTCAAGACACTCTGTCGGGGACATATTCGGGCTGCAGCGTGTGAGCGAATCAGCCTACAGCCATGCACACCACGACACATCCGACACAGACACAAGAACTCGCAGATCAGTAGCTCCTCGTTTCAGCGAGATAACAAACAGGTCTTGAAGAACAATCGCCACGCTGAGGTGTCGGCGAGACCTGTGCGCAGCTGACGCCTCCGGCAGGGCGCGAGCTGCGGCCTTTAGCGCCCTGTGGCGCAGAAATGCTTCGGCATAGACTTCCCTACGGCTATAGACTGCTAGATCATTCTGCGCCTCCTTTCATTCCAGAATGCTCCGACTGCTGGGTCGTTTTTAGGCCCTCCTGCAAGGAAGTACCTCTCCTGCGAGGGTCCCTGCGACATCGCGACGGACCTCGTGCTTTGGGCTGCCATAAACTCTAGAGGGCTTCTGCTCGGTATTCGGTTCTGTTCCCCATGGCTGCGACATCTGCAGGGGGCTGTTGTGGGTGCCATGTCATGTGCACTAGGGGTCACGGACATAGCAGCTAGCAGAGGCGAGACTACGTTTGAAAGTTGACTGCCTACCTGTCCTCCTTAGGACTGCAGCCTTCTTTCATCCAAGCTTCTGCGATTTGAGCGGATGCCAAGGACTTCTGCACACGCAATGTCTCCACACTGTCCGTGCAGGGCACCTGGGAGCCAGCTGGGGCACTGCGGCTCCCGGGCCTGAAAAAATCGTCAGGCTTTTGGTGTTTCTTGAATCACGTCAGCATGTAAGGCCGAGGATCAGGATAGCGGCTTCGAGAGCAAGTAGCGAAGAGGGGGCCTTGACCAGCTCAGACTTGGGTTTGGCTTTCCCAAGCATGCACGAAGCTTGTTCCCCATCCCTCGAAGGCACGGTGGCTGGCAGGCAGGCTGTCTCGAGGGAGTGGCTTTGGCCCACAGCCGCCGGGACGTGAAATCGATTTGAAGACATCCGGGGCTGTCTTTGCACGGAGCCAGGCCAAGAGGCAGGTCTTGCCGTTGTAGCACAACACATAGATAAGAAGCCGCGACTCCATGGACAATTGCGGACCTAAGACCAAACTTCCATGCGTCTGACGCTGCACTTCGATGAGCCCTGCTCTCAGCTCTTTGCTGCAGACTGCCTTTCCGCTCATTCTGGGCTTTCTGCCCATCTTGGTGCAGTTCCGAGGTCTCCCGTGAAGGTCCGCGTGTTCATGAACGGCACCCTGGCACCCTACGGAGAGTTGCGGCTGGAGGTCGGGAAGGGTCGGAAGGCCTTGAAGGAAGCCGTTGCAAAGGAGTGGTCTTGTACTCATGGACATGTTTGTGTCATTACATTTTGAGGTTGGGCATTCGGACTCGTGGGTGCACGGTTGGGGCTGTCTGATTCGATTTCTTCGAAGCTTTCACGATACTGGCTGCCTTGGAAACTGAGATGAAACACGGATCAACTCTGAGCACGACGGCTACGGGGTTTTCTTTAGGGCACTACCGTTCTTCACCGGCGCCTTGCGTTGGGGCATGGGCGAGACATGACACTTCTCTGGTGACACTCGGACAAAATCTCTTGGCAAGATCTGTGCCAGGGCAGCTCAATCTACATTCCGGGAGAATGGTTGCACATCCTCACAGATGGCTCGGAGCCTCGAAGCTGCAAGGGAGTCCAACAAAATTCCCATGGTTTCGTCGACGACACATGACATAGCAGATAGACCTCTTCCCAGCCTTCACGCACAAGAGGTGGACGATTCGAGGCATTTGCGTGGTGGCGGAAATTTGCTGGGCCATCGGCCATCGCATGGCGCTTGGAGACTGTTGCATTTCCTGCTCTCAGGTTGCTCTTCGAGTATTCCGGTGACACTGACGCTGACTGGAGCATCTGCCCCTTCGCGAAGGTTGTTTTCTTTCAGGCTTTTGGTGTGTCCCGGGCTTGCAGTGAGCGCTTGGCATCGTCCTACAGCGGCAGCTGCCAGCTCAACCATAGAGTGGCTTTGCCCTCGCCTTCAAAAGAGCGCTGGGTTGCTGGCTAGTGCCAGGTCTGGTGCCAGGTCTGGTGCAAACTTGCTCCAGCTTCGTGTGCAACGCGAGCCACCTGGTGTAGCCTATCCGGAGGAAGCATACAGGAATTGAAAGCTACGTTTTGAGGATTCAGTGAACTCCAGTTGGGTTCTGGAAGAGGCCAGAAGAATCCAGAAGATGTAACGTAGGCAGGTGACCGCAAGCGCATAAGTTGCCCGCCCCAGTCCCGCGCGGCTTGCAACACGATCGAGGGCGTGGTGGGGATAGAAGCAGACTGCTCTGGCACTTAGGCTACGTGCCGGATCCCCTTGCTGTTTGCCAGGGCTTTGCCTGCGACCCCCAGGCAGGACGGCGTGCAGTGCTCTGAGACGCCCAAATGCTCAACTGTAGAATCCTTGTTCGAGGCGGATCACGAAGTCTGCTGCATTAAAGAGCCGCCAGACCAGACAACGCACCCTGGCGGAGAGCAGCTCCCCTACCTTTCCGCCAAGTGTGCCATTGTGCCAAGGTTCCTGGGCCAAGATTACCTCTCTACCACCATGGACATGAGCATCCCTCCCAGCTCCTCGTCGGAGGTCGAATCGCGACAGGAGGTGATCGGCTTGTGGGCTTGTGGAGGGCGGAGTTGCTGTGAGCAGCGGTTGGCGACTAGGCTACTGGCTCCACGACATCCTGCGGCGGCTGTACGAGGACGACCGGTCCGAGCTGTTTGCCTGCGTGGCACAGAACGATCCACGAGGCCACCGGCCGTGAAGAGCCCGCAACAGGTAAGAATGTTTTTCCCCTCGAGGTCTGTTTGTTTCGACACAGTCCTAGCCGACGGCCACCCCAGAAAATCTTGAACACTCGGTCCACGGCTGAAGCCCCTCACTTTGGCGGCATGTTTAGCAGACCAAAGCTGTCGGCCGCGCCAGCAAGGGCAGGACCGGCAGCTGGAGAGTGCTTCTATGTAGTCCAGGGCGCACAAGGACAGCTCCATCACCGATGGCACCCGTAAATCTTCAGGGCTCCTTGACGCGTTTTTTTTGTTGTGTCTTTTCTCAGTCCGAAAGCCTCGCAGCCTTGATCCCGAAGGGCCGTAAACCCCAAGGTCTTGAGGAAAAGGGCTGAGGAGGCTGTCGGAGACAGGGAGATGTGGTTCAGGATCTGAACTGAGCTAACCTGGTGCAGATGTCGAGCGCCTCGTTTAGTGCGGCATGAATCCTTCCGGGCTCTGGGCAGTTCAAGTAATTGCAGAAAGGATTGTTGCATGGGACGGAAACTGGCGGATAACTTAACGGCGAGTTACCATGTGCGTGAAAACTTGAAAAAGCATCGAACAACGTGGGCGTAAGCTGCCTGATCCAAAACACCCCTTCACTGGTTCCAAATTTGGCTTCAGGCCTATTCCGGGACCTCTGCAAAGCCTACGTCGCCAGTGCCATCAGCGATGGCTTCAAAACACTACCCACGGGGCCACTAACACTCAATGCCGGGGCCTCCAGTCTGATTGAAGTGGTTTGGGACTTCAAGTGCCGGAGCATGGTCTGGGGTCCCAGTACTTGAGTGAGTGAGTGAGTGAGTGAGTGACAGCACGGCCATGCAACGTAGAACCGTGAACGTGACCGGTCCTTCCTGATGCTACTAGTCGACATTACCTGAATTGAACGGGATTCTCGGAAGAGGCCGACAACGCTGTTGCGGACATGATCGCGAAGTTGCAGCAATTCAAACCACTTCCACAAATCGCGGCTATGTCTGCAGAGATCGAGAGCCATGCTGTCTTGCAGATCGCCTGTTGCTGGTTTCACTTTAGAGAGGGCCCTGTGTGCTGGGGATGGCTTTTGCTGGAGGCCCAAAACCTCAAGCACCAAGGTGCTGATTTGTGCCGACCTGCCAGTCTTTTCCAGCTTCCTGGCCAGGATCAGTTGAACTGTTGTTTCCGCGCGGTTGCTTCACCGTGTGAGAGTGGATGCAGGCTTCCTTTACGGCATGATCACCAATCAGGGTGCTTTCAACTGGGCGCCTTGGCGATGTGCCTCCCAACACGCACACACACACACACAAATGTTTCATGTGTTGCAATGCCGCGACAGTCACGACAGGCAGCACAGGAACAAACAAACAACACCACACAACTGATCTGTGGGCCCGTTGCTTCAAAACTACAAGAGCCGGATGGGGCCGGAATAGCAGCAAGTGTGTAAGCGAGATTGTAAGCGGCAAAAGAAGCAGGGATCGGTCAAGGTCTTCATAAGTATGTATTTGTTTACAGGATTTGTCGATGAGGTTTTGTGACACTAGGCTCTCACGAAATCTACGTCAATCCAATATCAGTGAGCGACAAGCGCTTTGAATGCTTTAGGGGGTTTAGGGTTTAGGGTTTGGTTGCAGACACTCCTTGCCATGCGGTGTCCTTTCGCGATATTCACGTCGAGGGTCGGTGTGCTGAAAGCTTGCTTTGAATGGGCTTGACAGCCCTACGGTCAACCCCCCCACGAACCCAAAACACGTCGAAGTCACTATTGCTAGAGGTGGTCAGCGCCTTCCCATTCGACCATGCTCTGCGCTATGTGGTTCCAGGTGAGCTCCTGCAGATGGTATGTTGTTAGCGTGAATGTTCTTGGGGGCCACTCGTAGGCTCTCGGGTCTCGGCGAGCCTCTAAACGAAAACGGGAGCCCTCCCTTCAGCCTACACGCTCTTCTACAACGTGCTGGAGACCGCACCCTGGCCCTCTTGGCAGTACCTCACTGAGTATGCGGAGCAGCCCTCGGCACCTCGGGCACTTAAGACTTTTTCTGCTTCTTATGACCTCAAGATTTGCTCCTGCTCCTCTGCTACTATGCCATTTTGTTGCATGCAAGTTCGGATTGGGATGGTCCTAGTCCGGGACATGAAGGACAACAAGAATTGACGGAAGGAAGGCAAGAAGGAAGGAACTAAAGGAGAGCGGGTTCTGGGGTCTTGGGAGGCTTTGAGATTCGGCCTGGTCTCATCGGGACAAGTCGTTGCGCTGGCAGGCTTGTGCGACGCCCTCGACGTTGCATCAACCCCTCAGACAGGAGAAGGACGAGCTGTTGCAAATTGGCCTCTCGGTGCAGGCAGGGCTGGGCTGGAGTCGAGGCTTTCTGAAGTTTCGGCAGAAAGATCCTGCTTGAAGGAGCATTGAACAGCCGAAATTCTTCATCCCACAGCGAAGCTTCTGGTAGGCTGTGCAAGCATGTGTAGAACTAAACGGCGTTGCTGCACCTCTGCAGGAGCTTCACTTGGCATCAGCTGGGCAGATCCTAGAATCCGTCGTGTGCTCCAACTACAACAACTTCTCCTTTATCTACTTGTCCATGGTTCAGGACCGCCAGAGGCCGCTAGGCCAAAGGAAGAGATCTGTGCCCCTTGCCAGGAGATGAGTCCCGGGCGAGACGGACCGGCCTCCTTTTACTTCCCGGAAGACGATGGTCGGCTGGGCTTCCTGCACCCCCAAAGCAAGGGCAAGGGGTCAGTTGCGCAGGAGCTCACGCTTGCCGAGGATTTCAGGGTCATAGGTGAACGCACGACAGCTCGACAGGGGACTTTTCACGAGCCTCCTTCGTGACGGAGGTACTTCCTGCGCGATGGCCTGAGCCAGCTTGGGCAAGGGGGAGGAGGAACCCGTTCTTCAGCCAGCATTCAGCTCCTTGTTTCGAGCGCGCTCTCGATTTCTGCCAACCCGGTCGGCCCCAGAAACCGGGCACGCCCTGCTTCTTTGTGGCCGTGTGTTTCTGTCACTGGGAAATCAATTGTCGAACGTTGTTTGTTCTCGCCGTGGGCTGCAGCGGCTGCGTTTTCTTGTGTAAGCCGAGTTGCCTGCATAGTCTGCTTGCTGGCGTTTTCACGCAGGTGGCTTCGCGACGTCCCTTGGTCAGGTCTACTTCGGCAATCGGGGCAACCGAATCAACCTTGCCAGGTGCGCATGTTGCAGTCCGTGGCAGTGTGGCTGCAGCTTCGTGTTCTTGTTGGACGTCGGTAGACGACCTCTTTTGTCGGGGTTGACAACGTGGGTTCCTTTGTCCTGCAAGCAGATATTCTGCTCCTTTTCCACAAAATGTGCAAGGCCTCAAGCTTGCAAGGCTTAAACGCACAGCTGCGTCCATGTCGGTGGACGTAGATTCAGACAGATTCAGACAATATGATAACGAAGGGTTGGGTTTGTTTCTGGAATGTCCTCCCGACAGCAACGAGGAAGATGCGAGTGGGACGCGAATAGCATAACCGAAAGCCGGAAGCATCAAGCCCCAAACCCGGAGACTTGCAGACCTTAGAACCGCTGTGGCAGGCACGACGTTTCTTCTTGGCGGCATGAGCCCCGGCTGCACTTCTTCTTGTTCGTTTCAGTGAATAGCTGCTTGGCAAGGAACCACAGTTTCGAGCGGCTTCCATATGCATCAGCCAAGGAGATTCTCCCACCGCTTCAGGACTTGAGAGACTTTCCTGCATGTTTTCCGGGGATTGGCGCAAATTGACGACCGTGAACACTGGCGCCTTAAACATGGGGCCTGGGACCCACGCAAGTGGATTGGACCCTTAAGGCAGCACCTACGGCCCTCCCTACACCATAGAGGCCGTCGAGATTCCTGGAAACAACAAAGTACAACAAGACTGCGAGAGAAGCATGTGGGACACCTCCCCTTCAGGCCCGCAGAAGGAAAGAAAGAGACAGCGAGACAGAGAGAGGGAGGAAGAGAGAGGAAGAGAGAGAGAGAGAGATCTCTAAGCCACCAGCTCCCGCACACAGCATCACCACCACCGGCACGGGGACCTCCGCACAACGTGTGAGCGTTCCCTTACCTTGCTTTGTTCCTCTCCCCTTCGTTGCTTTCGCTAGGGGACCCGTGCCGACAGCCACAACAAGTAAACCACAAACCAGAACAGTAGCAGTCAGAGTCGGAAAGGGGGCTGACACCAACCTACGAGGGTGATCTGTGTAGCTCTGAGTTGTTTCGCTATGTTGTTAGGTGGGAGTACAAGTGCAGCCTCGAACTCAGCAACTGCCCCGGCAATGCCCGGGGAGGCGTGGAAACCCGCACAAAGAGAGGGCATCAGCTCACACGTGATGGCCCCGCAGGGGTAATGACGGGGACTGTCTCGGTTTAGGCGAGGTGTAGGGGACGGCGGGCCACTCCGTGCACTAGAGCTGAGCCTTCCGAGTCTCACAACCAAGACGCGGACAACGGCGTAGCGCGAGTCGCAGGGTACCGGGGTCCTCCCGTGCCCAAAGGCCCAGCAAGCAAGCAAGCAAGCAAGAGAGAGAGATCCGGTAGCCATTTTGGCTCAAGGGCTACACCTGTGCTTGGGGGCCTGTTCCGCCCTCTTGTACGGGGGGAAGGCGAAGAGTTGACCTGGAGCTGTACACTCCAGGGGAGCTCTTTCGCTTTGCCCCCGTGGTGCTTGAGCATCATATCCGCTGCCGTGTTGCTTTAGCAGCCCCCGATCCCTTCCGAGCTTCTCCTGAACCTGAACGAGGCCCCTCTTCGGGGGGTGGCCCTCTAGTAAGGGGACGGAGCATACAACTTGATTGTGGAACTGCAAGCGATCTTCCACGACTACCTGGGGGAGCCCGATGGCGAGTTCGAGCAGCCTCGGACGAGGCCATGGTGTGGGCGTCAGCAAAGGGCTCCCGATGCAAAACGGAGGAACAGACAAAACTTGCAGAACGCCTCCGAGAGTTGGGGGTGGGTTGCAAAGCCTGTTTGCAAGGGCCCTGGTACCACAAACCGCACGATGGGGGGAAGACCTGCTACAAGGCTATGATAGCAGCCGGCACGGCCAGCAGCCCGGCCAGTGGTAAGGACATGCGAAAAGAGGTGGAGGCCACAGCTACCCGCGCTATGTCCGAGCAGTCGGGGGAGACAGGTCAGACGGCGAACAAGAGCCGACCGCTCACCGACTATGTGCGTTTTGAGACAAAGGAGGGGGTGGCGCTTTTATACGAACCGCACCCGCTGGACAAGTGGATCGGCAAAGACTATAGATGGGACAACAATAAGCAGCTCTACATGGACTCCGCCACGGGGGGGACACTTACAGCTGAGGAAAGTGAGGACTACCAAAGATACCTGCAACGACACAACGAACGCCGACAAACAGGGGGACAAGCTGATGAGCTCATCAAGCTTGCAGCCAAGATCAACCCGCGCACTTTGGTGGAGTTGCGGTTCTACATCGCCAAGTTCCCGTGGGAGGTCTGTAGGCTCCTTGCAGAAGGCAAGAAAGTTTACAAGTCGATGTGGGAGCAGCGAGAGCTGCACAAAGAGCCAACGCCCGCAAAGGACAAGAAGCACAAGAAGCAAAAGAAAGAGACCAAGGAGGGGAAGAAAGCCAAGAAAAAGGACGACAAGAAGCAGACCAAGACCGAGAACGACGACACCGCGGTGGAGAAAGATGTAGCCCAAGCCGTTATACCACCAGTGGGGACGCCAGCGGAGGACCCAGACCACGAAGTGGACTGGGGAGGCAGTGACACTGACACTGCGCAGCCAGCCAAGACAACCTTCTCTCATGACATGGGGGGGAGCCGCGCCGTTGATGACAACACGGTCCTCCCAGATACGCTGCCGCTTGAGACCAGTTGGCCGTGGGGGGAAAGTGGCCGCCCCTCGGACCATGCCAACCCGAACTCAGCAGGCTCGAGGAAGCCACGTTCACCGAGCCGCAGTCCGCGACGGGAGGACGGAAGCCTATGGCGTGCCGTGCAGCAGGTACAGCAACACATGAAGAATGCTCGCAGGAAGTGAAGATCTACGACAGTGAGAGGCATGCGGAAAATTCGGGGGAGAGCGAAGTGTGGGAAAGTTCCCGGTTGTGTTCGTACTTGCCTTTGCTTGTGATGCATCCCACTTAATGTTCGTTGATACCCAGTGACCTTGCCAGCCAAACAGGGGGAGCCGCCCAGTACTAGTTTTGCACGGTTCGTTTTCGCTGTGTTGCTTCAAATCGGGGGACCCCAGACATACACCCTGTACCATATCATACCATCAGTGTGGCAGTTTCGAACCTCAAGGTGTAAACTCTTTAAACAGGACCGGGGGGATGTCGCTGACCCCCTTGGCCTTTCTCAGGTAAGCCCGTTCCACTGGGCCCACATTGGCCCGCAATCCCAGTTTCTTTTCAATACACCTACTTGAGGCAAGCAATGGTAGGAATTCGGGGGGACTAGAAAGCCCAAATTCGAGATCTCACAAATCCTTTACACAACCGGGGGAAACCAAGCACGCTTTTCCTTCACCCTTTTTTCATATCGAACCCGCCCGAAAGCCGGGGACGCAGCGCTGCGTGTGTTACTTGGTCGCGGCCTTACCTTCAGTCTTTGTTGTTTGCTTGCTGCGCCCCGGGGGCACAATGACCATACAGTCATTCAAGGGGGGGTTTTCCTTTGTAAAGCCGAGCCTCCTATGGGGAAACCGTAGGAGGAACAAAGTCGCCCCAGGAACTGCGGGTGCGCGCTCGCGCGCAGGAGGGGGGGGGGGGCTAGACCGCCCTTCTCCCTTTTCCCCGTCGAGAGAGAGAGAAAGAGAGATAGACAGAGGGACCTTGCCTTTGAGCGATGTTGTCTGGTAGCTGGCTTGCTTGCTGGCGATTCTGCCATGTCGAGCTTGTAACAAAATCCTTCCCATGCCATCTGAGGGGCACCTGGAGTACCGATAAAAAGGGTCGCTCCCTCTCCGTTTACCCTTGTGAAAGAAAGAAAGACAGAGGGGAAACAACAAAAACAAAACGGAAAGCTGTTTGTTTTCTTTCTTGCCTCAGGTGAGACCGTGTCGGCCTCGGACTCCTGGCTCTACAACCAAGCCCGCTTCAGCATCAGTGCCTCGAGCGAGCCGTAACATAGTGCGTTATCATGTGTTGTCTTGAAGAGGTTTGCTCCCGTAGCATGTTTGGTGCTCGCAGGGTTTTCAGTTTTCTTATTCGGGTTTCGGGGGAACTAAGCGGCACGGAAGCCAAAAAATCGTCCAGGCCAGCCGAGACGCTTGGCTGCACACCGGAAAGATTCCTCAGCCCCTTCTTCGGCCTTCTGTCGGCTTCTGGTTCTACGGCCTTGTGGAGACTTGGTTGTGGGTGGATTTTTGGATGGTTGGATGGTTGTGAGTTGCGACAGCTCTACACAGCAACATGGCATAACATGGCTGAAGATAAAAGGTCATCCCATCGGGCCTCTCTCGAGGCAGCCTCGATCCAATTCCCAGAGCGGGCGGAGAAAAAATCGGGCACCCCATCGAGCCTTCCGACATTCGTAGGGGAATCACCTGCGTCAATGAAGGCAGCATCTCGGAGCCTGTGCTTCACGCGCAGCTGTGGCCGATGGGTCGAAACTTGGGTCAGCAAGCAGCTTCTCTCTCCAAAATCGGAGCCTTCAAGCAGAATCGCACAACCAAGGAAAAGTCTTGGGCACCTTTCCCTGTCCGGTCGGATGCAGGGCATCTTGTTTGCTCAAAGCAGGATTCGCCTGTTTTTTCTCTAACTCAGTGACAACGTTGGGTTGATGCATGGATCTCGTTCGTGAGATAACCTGCGCATCAAGCATCAGAGTGTCGTTACTCGCATCAAAGTTACACCAGATCGGCATGCAAGGCTATTTGTGCATTGAACTCTCTTGGACTGGCTGTCTCGGAGGTTTCGGAACCCTCAACCCTCAATCGAACGATGCGAATATCAAGCGAGCTTCAGTTCCCCCTCATGTTGTTGCCATCGTTTGTGCAGAAAGTTGGCTCCTTCGACTATGCAAACCCAAGTGCATGTCAAACGTGTCGGCCGGGTAAGACGCGCCGTAGATCGGATAGGCAGCTGCAGAAGACTTCTTCGAAGCCTAAGCCACATTGGTCTTCTTTGCAGCGCGGCCTCTCAGGCAACGAATGTGTACACCTGTGTAGCGTGCCGGCCTGGCTTCTACCGTCCGGATGGAGAAACGGGATGCGTGCCGAGCCTTGGCTTCCACAGCCCAGCCGTGAGCTCGAGGGGCAGAAACGTCGACGACTGAGAGCCTCTAGGGTTGCTGAACGGAGGTGCACACAGCTGGCCACCGACGTGTTCCAGGCGCTTGCAATGTCCATTGGATCGCTCGGGCGTTGCGCTTATGTACTTGCGAGTGCGACAGATATTGTGTCTCACCTTACCCAAATCTGCAACACCCTTGCCCCCGACCCCTCAAAGTATGGAACTTTTGCTGTAGTTGCTTTATGTTGTTTTTTTGTCGTCTGTGCGCGAACCCCGGAAGCCAGTGAGTGAGTGAACCCCGGCCCCCGGCACGACAGCAAAAACAAACACTCGCCTCCGCGGTGACAGCAAAAAAAGAAATGCGGCCGGGGGACGACATAAAAACAAAAAAAACTGCGCCCCGGTGACGCCAGCAAAAAAAGGGCACCCCTGGGACGACAGCAAAAAATGCTCCCCGGGATGAATACCGATGAAATGTCGCGGTTCTCGCGACAGTTGTTGCTTTAGGATCGCTTCGTCACTGAAAGTTGCTTTTATAGGCCCTCAAGGCTGTCACAGGGATCGGTCGTGTCGAGGTCGCGATTTGCACACTTTCTGGAGCCTCACATCGTCGCGAATGCAACATGTCGGTGCTGAGGGTATCCGGGCACAAAGAGATGCATGCATGGGATGGATGGATGGATGGATGGATGGATGGATGGATGGATGGATGGATGTATGTATGTATGTATGTATGTATGTATGCACAAGCATCTCGGCTCCATGGCGTGGAGTGACAAGGCCCCTGGGGCCAACTTTTGGAGTGAAAGAAAGGGTGCGGCTAGGCTCTTGAGGGCTGGGCTGGAAAACCATTGGGCTCCTAGCCTTCTGCTGTGCTTGGGGTGGCTGGCTTGGCTTTTCTTCAGAACCACTCCCCAAACGTGTGTGCCATGGACCATGGTGACAACAAGATCCCCAGATATCCCTCTCGGCTTCTGCTGTCTGATCTACTACATGTCCATGTGGAGAACCACACGTTGGGGCTGCTCACGAAACAATGGAGCGGCTGCAGCTTACAGGTTTTACGGCAGCGCCAGGGCCACCTGCTTAAAAGATGGGAGTCCAAGGGCTCGTTTTGTATGTGGTTTGAGGGCTGGCTTCTGTTCACGTCAGCGAGACGTCTGTGCCTGCTTCAATGTACATTGGCTTTCGACGAAGAGTTTGCAGTGGCCATGTTTGATGCGGTCTGTCGGTTTGAATTTCCTGAACTGGAGGCCATGGACTAGGCTCTGCAGGGCGCTTCGGGGTGCACGGAAACATGTTTGTGAACCTTACACATGTCAGCCTAGCTTCTGCTGGGCGCTGTTGCTTCTGCTGGCCCCCCTGGGCCTCTATGTGGCGACCATTGGCTTCCTCTACATGACTTTTGAGGAACTCCACGTGGAGTGGGCCAAGTGCCCCAGACACGTTGACATACGACTAGTCATGCACGTTGCCTACTATGTTCTGTGGTGTGCCATTCAGCAGTGCATGCATTTGGCATTTCAGGAATTCACATGGTGGCAGATTGCCCAGGCTCAAGACGATAGGTGGCAGAAGCCGGCAGACATGGTGGAACGCCTGGAGGGCGACAGCTCAGCGGAGTACCTAGACGCCAGAGAGGGGTCGGAGGAGGAGACCACAGGTGGCATGGATAGGTCTGCTGATGGAAGCTCCTCACGAGTGACGGAAGAACGCATAATCTTTGACCGCTTAGGTCAAAGAGTGCACGAGCCAGAAGGGCCGCCGCCAGGCCACAGTGTGCATTCGACCCGTCCTCTTGGGCCTCCAGCTCCTCAGCCGTTGAGTGCTGTTTGCGAGATCTCCCACGCAGTGGCAATCGCCGTGGGACGCGCCATGGGACTGGACGTGCAGGACCAACCAGGACTGGTGGTGGCTCATGTGCCTCCGTACTGGAGGACGATGCGGAGGGTGGCGATCCACCTGACGACCTTTGCCCCGACGGATTGGAGTCACCCTCATGTCCTGGAAATCGGCGACGACCCATCTCCTACCATGGCTCCGGAAATGACAAGCTCGCCTACAGGCCCTACTACCTCGGCTGCTGAGGACGCCCCAAGCTCGACCCCTGCTGCAGCAGCTTCTACCGTGGCGGGTGGCTTGGCTGAAGCAGGCAGACCCCATGGGACGAAGGGGACGCTGCCTGAAAGCAGGGAGGCTCGCGGGGAACGATGGAGCCATCTTTCGGAGGAGGCCTTGGCCAATGAGATGCTCGACATGGAGCTAGGGGCCTTGGTTTCCTCACTTGAGGAGCCCATGGACGAGGCCACGCTCAATGAAGTGGCAGCGGATATGCTGCTGAATCCAGTGCCTGACACGGCGCTGGTGGCATCCGGCTCGGCCTCGTCGGGTTCTACGCCTGCGCCAACGACCGGCAGCACACATGTTTCGGGCACGCCATCCAGAGTCAATCGCAAGTGTGCACCTTACTCACAGTGTTCCTTGCAAGCCGTGATTGTGTACATCATATGTCCTTTCGGCAATGCAATTGGAGATGCATACTCAGGCGAAGACACCATGAAGGGGCATAGATTGCATTGTCTGCAGGTTTTGCTAGTGCACCGGGGGCTGAACCCTTACCAGACTACCATAATGCTGCACACATGGCGTTGGAATGGACTGATCCTCCACACCTCCTGGTGCACGGTCCCGAGCTGCAGTCGCCTTGGCCCAGCCTTTTTGGATCGTGGCAGACCTGCCCAAAGGGCCCTACTGACGGCTCCTGCGCCAACCGCACAAAACAGCGTGTGCGTGGATGATCCGCTTGCAGACACGAGCTGTACCTGCACGATCTTCTGTATGTCATGGCTGGCCAGGTACTGCTGTTCCTCGCTCTTGAATACCAGGTGGGTGGCTTTGCTCTGGTTGCAGTTATTCTTGGGTGTTCTGCCACTCATTGCATACCACAGGTTTGGCAACTTCTGCCTCCATCCCTGGCTGAACAAGGCGAAGGCACTCTTCTCACGATGCCTCATGCACTCTTCTTGCTCACAACCAAATTCTCGATTTGATCATTCAGGCCCACCACACTCAGACCGTGGAGGGCCGGACCATGCCGATGCTCAACGGAGCCGCCTGGGTCCCAAGTCCCAGGATTGCTGCAGACCCGCAAGTTAAACAATGCACCCCGTTAGACCCGTTCTTATGTGGTGTCTCTTCCTATGTCTGATGCACAACGGGGTGGTGATCTCGGAAGCAGCAATAGATGCGAGGGTTGGGTTCGCAGATCACCGTTCGAACCCGGGAGCCACAACTTGCTCCACACCATGCTCAGGATGGGCGAAGCCAGGTGAATACCGCCACATTGCCCGACCATCACGAGAGCAATCCCAACGGGAGACAGTCCGGAAACGTGCCCTCCTCAGGGCCATCAACAGAGCGGATCGAAACCCCAATGGCAATACTTGGTACAAAGGACGACTGCTACATCGGACCCAGCTCGGCCAAGGACGACGGAACACTTCCACGACAGCCCCTAGGCACGACCCTTCCACCCCACGTCGCCAACGAAGGCTTCGACTTGTATCCTGGAACGCAGGTGGCCTCATGGACACCCGAAACCAGGAGATCCAGGCGTGGCTGGCTGCTGAAGCACAAGCAGGACGCCCAGTCGACATCATGACAATCCAAGAAACCTGCTGGAAACAGGACCTCGAATACCGCACTTCCTGTGGTCCGGGCGAGCAGGCCTACCATATCATTCATTCATCTGGCCCCGAAAAGTCGGGGATTATGATCATGATCAGGAGCGACCTCCTACCTGCACGGGACATCCAGTATGTCTCCCTGGTACCAGGCAGAGCTGTGCACCTACGACTCAAGTTTCCCCTACCGGTAGACATCCTTTTCCTCTACCAGGTGTCGTGGAATGTGTCCAAGAGCTCCCTGGAAGGTCACAAGGTCACAGCCCTACTCAAGCAAAGAGCTAAGATATGGCGTCATGTGGAGCAATGGTTGCGAGCTACACCAAACCGTCATGGATGTGTTATTGCTGGTGACCTAAACACACCATTGGTTCCTGAACCAGGCATCTGTGGCCCGGTGGTGCTGGAACAACATATTGCACAACAGGACCAGGCTGAGTTGCAAGAGATCCTGCGCACATATGGCTGCTGCGCCTTGAACTCCTGGACAGGCAATGGGGCCCAGGCTCGCACATATATTCCGCCACGTGGTGTTGGCGACCAGCAGGGCACTCGCATTGACTTTGTAATTGCTAGAGGCAACATGGTGGATGGTGAGGCCAAGAAAGCGAGTGTGATCCAGGCCCCGTTCGTGCCGGCGCAAGGGGCCAGACACAGGCCGGTTCAAGCCATGTTGAGACTACCGAGGTTTCCCTGCCCACCTAAGACCCAGGCATCAGGGCCACGACCTGCGCACATTTGCAAGCTGCTCCAAAATCCTGAGGTGGGGACGTGCCTCACGGCACAACTTCAACCTTTGCTGGACAATGCTGCCCCTCATGAGGATCTTGATGCCATTCTGCTTGCAGGCTGGGCACGAGTACAACAAACTCTCCCTGCTCTAGATGCCGAGCCAGCACAAATGGGACCACAAGGCAGAGTGCAACACCTCACTGTTCGTCAGAGGATCCAGCACATGTGGCAAATGCGGGCAGCTTTGAGACGACTCCAACCGAGTGAGGTCCTGGAACCGACCACTCCCAGCTTGGCTACCCTTTGGAAGGCCTGGAGCCAAATCGCGCGCTTGCAAGCATGCAATCGGCAACTGCGCAAAGACTGCAGAAGACACAAAACCATCAAGGTTCTGGAGGCAATCCAGGCTGAGAACATCTATGCGGCCTCGAAACGATTTGCTCCCAAACAGGCCAGACGGCGACTCCAACTACGCACAAAGGAGGGACATCTCCTATCACATGAACAGGAATTTCTTCGTATCCGGGACTACTTCTCCTGCCTGTACCAAGGCCCGCCGACCCCGCCTGTCACACTCACGCAAACCATTTGCTTTGAGGAAACAGAGTTGCAGCTGGCTATGAGCAGGTTGGCGGCGGGCAAGGCCATGCCTCAACACAGTGCCCCTGCTGCGATCTGGAGAAAGTGCTCGGCTCAGGTCACTTCACATCTCTGCCAGCAGCTCAATGCATGTCTGGTAGAAGGCTGCAACTCGCTGCCTTTGAACTGGAGTATGTCTGACATGGCCTTGATCCCCAAGCCTGGGAAGGCTATGACCTCGCCAGAACAGCTGAGACCAATCAGCTTGCTCCCGATGCCCGCCAAAGCCTTGATGCTCGCTGAACGATTACATGAATATGCCGCCCTCTATCTTCAGGATGTCCCACAGTTCGCCTATATGAAGGGGGAATGGCCCTGGACCGAGTGGCCTCACATTGTGTAAGCACCCGGGAGCTTCTACAAGACCAGGCCAACACCCTACATGCTCGACGAAGCGGTCGCAGGATATCCAAGGTATGTGGAGGGTGTATGCTTTCGTTAGATTTGACGAAAGCATATGATCATGTGCCGTGGGGAGACTTACAACTGGCCCTGGAGGCAGCTGCTGTGCCCGCTGGTCTCATCGACCTAGTTATCCTCATGCATCAGCAGGCACGCATACGCATTGCACATCATGATCATTCGGAGCTACTGAGCATGTCCCGGGGTTTGCGGCAGGGATGCAGCCTGGCACCTGCCTTGTGGACAATCTATTGTGGCTGGCTGCTCAAACAGTTGCATGCTACGGGGGAAGTGGACGTGCCTTCCTGCAACACTTCCTATGCTGATGACCTCCACTTCAGCTGGCAAGTGTTTCATGCAGCCGACATGGAGAGAATCTACCGAGCGATGCGAAAGGTGTTGCAAGGCCTGGAGGAACGCCATGTACAAGTGAGCATCGACAAGACGGTAGCCATCGTCGAACTACAAGGCCCGGGTGTGGCCAAGTGCCTTGAACGCTACCTTGTGAGCAAACCTAATCATGAAGGCCGGTACTTCAAGTTTGTGATTGCGGGGACACCTCGATATGTGAAGGTCGTGCCTCAACACACCTATCTTGGAGTGATCATAGGATACAAGAAGCCTGAGCAGGAGACTGCCAAACATCGGAGAGACCTGGCCACAGGAGCCTACCGGAGGCTCAAGAAGATTCTGACCTGTAGGGATGTCCCACTGAAGCTTCGTCTGCAACTGTGGCACGGTACTGTCCCACCGACCTTGCTTCATGGTCTAGACAGTATGGGGCTACCAGCCAAAGAGGCACATCACCTACTTGTTCTGTTCTTTAAGCAGATCCGGTCCATCGCCAAGTCCTTCAGCATGTTCACACGGGAAACCAATCAGGCCCTCGCACGACGACTGGGTCTTCCGGATCCGCTTGAACGCCTCCAACAGGCCCTTGACCGTCGCACACGTGCCTGTGCGCAACTCCCCACCGAGCTGATGCCAGGACCGGTACAGCAGCAATGGAGGCTGTTTGTGAGGGGCCAGCTTGCTGCGGCTAGAGATGCTTGTGGTACCAGTACCGGTCTCGAGTCGACAGCTAAAAGTTCACTGGTGCTTGTACAAGACATTTTACATGAGCAACATGAGTGTGACATCTGTGGACAAGTACTGGCCACGGCAGCAGCCCTCAAACGCCATCAGTTTCGACAGCATCTTGACGAAGACACACAGCTAGCCATCATACAGGAAAATCGTCGAAAACTACATGGCAATGAACTTGTGCACTCCCATTCAGGAATGCCACAGTGTCGTCACTGTATGTACAAGTTCACGACGTGGCACGCGTTTTTCTACCACATTAACAGCCGGGGATGCTCTATTCTGCGCGCCATTTACGAAAAAGGCTCCAATCCGGTCCTGACAGAGGCCTTGAATGAGGCCATCTTTGAGAACCCCGAGCTTTTTTGCACGTGGAGAGATCTTGCCATGCATCCCAAAGTCAAAGCCAAACATCAGCATTGCCCCGAATGCCATATGTGGACCGTCCGGCACCAATACATCAAGCGCCACATGCTCCAAAAACACCCAGAACGGACAGCCTTGATTGAGCGAAGTGAGCAGATGATTGTGAGAAGTGATTTGAGCCTTGGCAACCCTTGTGCTTACTGTGGCCTCACGTACACCCGCAAATCCGCTCACCTAAAATCGTGCATAGGCCTGTTCACTGGTGTCTACCTCTACCTTAGGATTGCCAGAGGTCCTGCCTTGACAGAGTTGAGTGGTCGGCATGACTACAGCTATGGATGTCGACAAGGCCAAGCGTCAACTGGAGGAGGCGACGCAGGAGTTGGAGCTCCTCGAGAGCTTGACTACGGGGGGGAACACCCAGACGGGAACTCCTCCAACCCTCCTGAATGCCTTCCAGGGAGCCCGACCGTCTCAGCTCGACAAGAACAAAGACAAGGACAAGGACAAAAGCACCAAGGAGCACCCGCCCCAGCCGAAGTACCACAAGGGCGATGCCAAGGGAGATCAGGGCAGAAAGGGCAAAGGACGCGGACAAGGACAACCACAGTGGCCCAGGACAGGCGGGGGAGCATCCAATTCTTCTTGGAGAAATCCAAGGGGAACGGGAGCTCAGGGCAGTCGGGACCCATGGTCCGAGGAGGAGCTGATCAAGGACAATGCCGAAGAACTTCGGGCGGCAGTGAAGCTACTCTCGACGGTCATGTTACGCCACGAAGATCAACTGGCGATTCAGAAACAAGACACGTCGTATGTCGTGTTTATCCAAACCGGATTTCCAGACAGTTTAGCAGTTTCTACGCACCGCATTGCCCAAACATGGCACTCCATGAAGACTGCAACCCCGGAGAAACTGGAGGCCCCTATGCGAGTCCTGCTGTTCCAGCACTTCATCAAGACCGTTCTGAGCAAGCTGGAGCTCATGATGCAGACGCCATCTTCCAAGTCCATGGCGGTGAACATGGGTCTCTTGGCAGAGAACGAAGAGGACCTGATGGGGATGAAGTGGGATCAGGCGGCCAATCACCACGTCCCGGACCCCAACATTCCGACCGTGCCGGCGAAGGAGGCCATGCAGCTTCTCCAGAAGGTGCTCACCTTGTGCCCTCAGCCACTTGTGATCTCCCGGTACCATGCCACTCGCAAGCTTGCGCAGGAGTATCAAGGGGCCACGTTGACCATGCTACTCCAGGTGGGCTATCGCACGACGGAGGCCAACGAGGTGTGGCAGGCTCTGCACCGGCTCGAGAAATCCAGTGCCTGGGTGGCGGCTGGGGCTTACCTTCGCAGAGAAGGCATGCAACGCAGCGCTTTGGCGAAACGACTGGAGTCGCTGACCTGGTGAGGCGATTACAGCTTAGCAATGATGGCAACTTCTGCTACAGCAATGCTGTGATCAAAGGGTTGCTATATGCCATGGCTTTCCAGGGAGGTTTGGAGTGCTTTTTCCATGGGGGCATGCTGCAGCTTCTACGGGGCATCTTGCAGCACTCGGGGGCCACACACTTGTGGCGCCATCCATTTTGGGTGGCCATGATGTCTGGATGGAGGCAACCATCCAGACAACATGATGGGGCAGAGTTTATGCAGTTCTTCTTGATGAAACAAAGTTCTGCTGCAGTGCATATCCAAGTTCATTGGCAGGCCAAGGTACAGCAGGATGCTGTGTGGAAATGTGTGGACGGGGGATGTTCTGCACCTCTGCTTGTCGTTCCTCCTGACAACGCCGCCACTGACGCATCGCAAGGGTTGCATGGATACTCGATGCAGGAGCTTATTGATCACTGGCATATGCAGGAAACCCTGCATGCTGGGGTTTACGCTCCACCGCTCCTGACACTGCAGATTGGACGTTTTGACTTTAGCCAGCAGGATGAGTGTGCCATCAAGCGTCGGTTTGCTGTGATACCTAATCAAACTGTTACTTTTCCTGTGTTTGATGGGCACGATGCTATGTTGCAGCACACGTATGTCCTCAGATCCGCGATTGTACATCAGGGTCGAACTCCGGACAGTGGTCATTATTTCACCCTCTTGTTTGAAAACTCTCAGACTTGGTATGCTGATGATGGGGTGCCCGCTGTTTTGATTGATGAGGGTGAAACTTATCAACACTATAGGGACATTTATCTTTTGATTTACACTCTACAAAATGACCACTAGGCTTTGCTTGGGCATACGTGCCGAAAGCCTCTCCCATGGATGTGCTGAGCACAGCTGATAGCCGGGCGCTCTCTGCGCTTGTCCATAGTTCGTTCGCCGAAGCTCGACTTCTGCAACGCCGAAAGTGAAAAAGTGAAAAAAGTATGTATGCACAGTTAGATGCATACATATACAATGCCGGCGAAACCCAGCACAAGTCCAGGTTAAGTCGTGCAGGATGTGTGGGTCCTCTGCTTGGGCGTGGCCTGCGTAAATCAAGTCTTGATTGCCTGATCCGACTCTATAGTGGTAGTTGAATCTGGCCGAAAGGTATAGAAAGAACGCATTTGCATGTAACAGATTCCAAACACCCGCCAAACGCCCGAACGCATGCCCCTCTAGCTTCCTGTAAGCCGGAGCAGGATTCCTGGGCTGGAGCGATGTGCTTCAAATGCCCAACCGGTGCATTCTGCGATGCTAGCCGCCCTGCCGAGGACCGAAGCGGGAGTGCCCCTGTTGTGGAACGCATGAGTGCATGCTCTGATATGTAGATGAAGCCACCAAAGCAAAAGCACGGCAACAACATGATATCACCACCTTTCATATTGGAGCGCAGGTAGCGGGGTAGCTGGATTACATGTAACTCTTTTGCTTAGTCGTAACTCTATTGTTTTGGGTTTGCTTCGTCGTGCTTTTTCGTGCCGTTGCAGGAGGGAGAGGGGGTGTGCGAGATGATTAAGCGTGCCTCCCATTGAAACCCCAATGCCTCTAAACCCAAAATCCAAAGCCCCTAAACCCTTAAGCCAAACCCATAACTCCACCATAAGCCCTAAACCCTAAACCCAAGACCCCTAAACTCCGAAACCCTAAACCCTAAACTCTAACCCCTAATTCCTAGACCCATGACTCCCCCCATAAATGTTAGAGGCTACGGCCAGGTGCGCCGGACTGGGCAAAAACAGAGCACAACTAGGCGTGCTTCCGGTGTTTGGCGCAAGACGTGCATGACTACTAATCAAGGGAGTGCGTGTCCCACTCCGTTCGAGGCGCCGATCGCCTTACCTGGCTGCTCGACTTCGCTCAGCAATACTGCGACAGCTGTGCTCTTGGCACCGTTTTTTTTCCCTGGTCGCGGTAGTGATAGATGTCCCTGTGGATGCAGTTTGTGAGCGGTGGTCGTGTGTGGTCACCGTTGTCTGCAGCCGTAGGACGACATGCTTGCCAGACCCTTTACATGTTTTTCTTCCAGATGCTTTGTTGAATTTCCATTTCCTGATGCTCCCGCTTTCTGCTAACGAGGTTACTTTCGCGTCGAAAACCAAACCTACACGGCGATGCTCGGTTCGGGTGGAGCTATCTGGAAGCTTCCCTCCGTAGGATCCAAGGGCAGTTCCGAACTTGGGAAGGAGAACTGCAAGGTATGCGAGTCCGTTGGCCGGGATACCGGGTGTCGGTGCGGCAAAGTGTCTAAGGAAATTCGGGAAGTGGTCCGTGGAGTCGGCCTGCAGCTTCAACCAGGCCAAGGGCACCGTACTGCTTACTGACAACACTGGCCATGCCAATGCCATAAATATTCTTCACATCGATACTTGGGTTGACAAGAGATGCACTTGGGAGAAGTCATGGTAGCAAAGCACACCTTACAGTCAGAACACTAGCAGCAGTCAGCAATGAAAGTGCTGGTGGTGGTACTGGTTGTGGTGGTGGCGTTGGCGGCGGTGACGGCGGCGGCGGGGGTGGTGGTGAGTGCTTGTGGCATATGAGAAAGTGTAGCTGTGGCAAAGCATTAGTATCAATAGCATTATCCCAGCCGATTGATCTGTCGCCATCATGATCAGCGTCACCATCGTTGTCCTCGCAGCCAATGCAAGTCTTATGCACCTAAGCCTTCGGGTAGGGCCTGGCAGACGCCCACGCCACCGTGCCTCGGCCAAGCACCGAACAGGTCAAGGTGGAGTCCTCAAAGAAAAGGGAAACTACAAGGAGTTTTTTGGGGTGTTCTGCATTTTGGGAGCATGGGTTTGACGGATGTTAGGGTATCAAGAGCGTGTTAAATTGAGTCTACAGGTTTGGGAAGATGTCCTGTGGATAGTGTGCGGCTTCGCCTCAGGAGATGTCGAGCCCGGGCCTAAGTGGCGCAAGGGTTTTGGCACTTCTTGGTGCCACAGCAGAGTCTTGAGCGCCTCCCAGCTACGGGTCTATTGCAATTAGACGGCCAAGTCTTGACACAGTCGGTTTCCACTCCGAATGCCTTGTGCAGCATCGAGCTGGGACAGCAAGCATCCTGCAGCTTGGAGGCTGGGCGGAGGCCAAGAAAAACCACCGATGGTTGCTTCTGGGCCTCATTTGTTATTTGATTTTGCAGCACATGCAGGTGCACAAGAGTTTGCCGGAGTATGGGCACTGATCGTCACCAACCATGACCGTTGTTGTCATCTTCGCTGTGCAACACCTCCATAGAACCAGTCGGGTTCCTCCTCTGTCGATCCTTGCTGTTCAAAGTCTCTCCCGGATTTCTGGGATTTCTGTGAAGACAAGATCACAATTGTCGAAAGAACCTCCGGCTTGCCGGTGAGATTTTGCCGATGGTCTTTTTCAAGCTTTCCTGTATTATCATCCCGGCGGAGTGGGCCATGAAGAACGGTTGGCCCTCGCCAACACACGGAGCCGAGCTCGCACGCGCATCAAAAGTTTGGTCTCAGTCCCGTCCCTGGCCGGGGGCCATGACAGCATGGAGTCGCCGTTGGGTAAAGGGGTTCGGAGGTAGACAGCAGCAGCAGCCGTGGCATCTGTGTGCAAGTCCTTTGCAGTTGCACTTTTATAAGAGGGGGAGAGGGGTCCGTTTCGCCGTTTTCGGAAGTGTTACATGAAGCTTAGGTTTCAGCGATGTTTGCCCGCGTCCAGTTGCCGCTCGGACAAAGAGGTGTTGTTTCGCAAGTTGTCGCACAGACTTATCAGGATTGTAGTTCGAGAAATGTTTTCCATTCAGATTGCAGGTCAAGAGCACAAGAGGGGGACACAGGGCAGCTGCACCAACCTTTAGGGCAGCGGTGGGGTCCTGCAACTGCCCGCATGCATGCCACCACCAGCGCGGGCACGGGCAGACCGGGCAGACACGAGACACAAGCATCCCCGATTGATTGGGTCTTGCAGGTGAGTTTCCGTGTGAAGTCAGGGTCGGCATTGGCCTGGTGTCTTCAAGCTAACACCTTCGGTGCCTAGGCCTTGGCAACAACCAGTGTTTCCAACTCAATCGTGGCGTCGGATGTGAGATGTGCAGCTCGGCATCATCATTATTCGGCTTGGAGACTGGCAGGGGTTCAAGTCAAGCCGCAAGCTTGCAGGAAGCGGGTGTGACCCGTGGTCTGAGGCGTTGAGGGCTACACCAAGTACGAGCCACACGGCTAAGCAGCAGATCGGGTTGAACAGGCTCTTGCATGTCTGTTTTCGTCAGACTCTGTCCAGGTCTGCCTCTGTCTGTCTCCGTGTCTCTCTTTTCTTCGCTCTGTCCTCTTCTCCATTCTCTCCTCCCCCCTTTCTCCCTCCTCCCGTCATGTTCCCTCGCTCTTTTGACCGGGGAATGAGGTTGTTCGGATCAGCTGAGGCTACGTCTGCCGGCCTTCCTGGCTGGCTAGTTGCCTGCCTGTCTGTCTGTCTGTCTCTTCCTGTCTGCCTGTCTGCTGTTTGCCCGTCTGGCTGGCTGTCCATCTCTCTGTCTCTCTCTCTCTGTCTCTCCCTGTCTTTCCTTGCCACGCTGATGTTTACGGGCTGTGTCGGAGGCTGAGGGTTGGAATTGGGTTTAGTGCATGGTATGTAGCTCATGCGCCCAAGCTTCGTGAGAAGGTCACTGTCTCTCCGAATCATCTGGAAGTTTTCAGGGTGATCGTGATGAGTACCACACTCGTTCTCGTCCATCCCAAGCCCATGCTCATGCAACAGAGTTGTTTCCTTCAATGGGAAAGTCGGGTTCCGTGGTTCCCTTTGTGTCGCCCTCCTGCCCACAGACCACCCTGGAAACACCGTGTGTCACTCGCAACTTGATCGTGGTTCTTCGCGTGGAGCACGAGTGTCAGTATCTCGGTTCAGGTTGAGGTGAACTCTGAATTCCAGGCGCGAAGCCTCGTAGAACTCTGAACCGTAAGCAACACGAACCCCACAAGGTCCTACTTCCTGTACACCAGCTGCCGGAAGTGTCCGCCATTCTGGTGGCTCATCTTGGAGTGCTGTGTCCCTGCCGCTCGACTCCAGGCGTTCCTTAAGCCTGAACTCCTTGCCCGACATCACCGACCGTGCGCTGCCACACCTGGAACCAAGGGCGTCTTTCAATTCTTTGCCGTGCTCGTGCGCCCTGGCAAAAGTCGCCTTGCCACACCTCACAGAGACCACATCGGTCCCAGCTCGCAAATGCCCAACCCACGACCCAGGCTGGTGAGGGCGGGGCACAGCACAGCAGTGCAGCTTGGCTGTGCTTGGCATGTGCACTATAAGCACGATGTCACAGGTGCTCCCCCAAGCGATGCTGAAGCATACACGGCATCCCTGACCGTCACGAGCGCCACAGACCCATGTTGAAAGTGAGAGTGTCCGCTGCCGATGTGAAACCCGTGTGAAGCACACCACTAAACACAGACTTCGTCCATGCAACCGCCGGGCTGGCCATAATATGACTGCAACAACCTGAGATGGCGTGTGGGGTTATAGCATGGTCCATCGAAGGAAAGCAGTCAGGCGGGTCAAGCATCAGGTCAAGTGTGTCAGAGTTCAGCGGCTTCCATCTTGTGAGTTCTCAGAGTTTCGCAGTACTGGTGGGTCCCGTCCCGCCGCCCACAGCAACACTGTGATCCATGGAATCAGTCTTCTACCAATTGCGGACGCCAGGTCGTGATGGTGAAGTGTTTTAAAGCTTGCTCGCATTGCAAGGCTTGTTGTGAGGTGGAAATTTGAAAAATCTGGAGGGCACCGCATCCTAAACTCTAAAGTCTAAACTCAAACTCCTGCAGCCTGGTCGTGTTAACCACCAGGAATCGCTTGAGCCTCGCAGCGCCACTCCTGGTGGCGTGCCTTGGTAGCAAGCGCTCGGAATCAACTCCGACTCTGCCCGCAGTGGCAGTGGCGGCAATTTGAAGCCCCCTTGGCAACGCCAGCCCAGTCGGTTGGTAGTCCGAGTCGCCTTCCGAGGTTGCTTCAGGGCCTGCAGATGCACGCTAACCTGAGCAAGATCATGAACAATGTTGGTGCTGCGCGAGAGGAGTCGGCACGTCGAGGGCTTCTGAGGTGTAGGTGCTTCTCAGCCATGGGCCGACAGAAGCTCCGCTGCGCGAGGACTTGGGGAGATTGATCTACGCTGTCACATGGACCGAGGTGCTGTTTCTTGGCTGCGTTTTGCGAATGTCGTGCGCTTGCCACACGTCAACCAAACACGCAGGATTCCGAGACAGTCCATAGGGTTGGGGCCCCAAAAGCATCGAGACCATCAAGCCATGAAGGCTCCCTCGAGTCCCCACAGCATGTCCGGCTGCACGCGCCCGGTGTCCTGCTCATGACACGGGTTGTGCTCAAAGAACTATCGTGCCCTCGTTAGACCAACCTGGTTTCCGAGGTTTCAGATCGAACTTGTTGGGGCATGTAGCACGACTGCAGGCATCTGTTGCGCAGGCAATCTCGCATCGATCGCAACTCTGTTTCGGGTGTCTGGCCTCTCCCTAAAGGATAGCGCCCTGCCTCGCGCCCTGGATGCTTTGCCATCTTCCAGTCCATGGAGAGGCCCACGGATGCCCAAGCTGAAACGTTTTCACGATCGGTTCGTTAAGGTCTACAGGCCCTGGGGCAAAGGGGTGATGTTTTGGGAGTTTCGGGTTCAGGATTTCTTTACCGGTTGAGGAGGAAAGTAGCAAAGAGGTTTCACAGCACAGCATTGCACACTGCCTGGTGCTCTTAGTCTTTCTCCTGGGATCTACCGTGCGAGCTGGTGTGCTAAGGCCGAGGTTCATGTATGTGATGTCATCCCTGAGGCAGACGTCGGGCTCTATGTTTTCCTGGCTCCTCGGCAAGGAGTTGTGGGAGCCCCCAGGCCCCCAGCAGGTCTCGCGCCTGAGTTGCGCAGAGCGAGCAAAGCCGCTTGCGTCACCCACCATGTCCCTGTCCTTCGAATGCCTTCTAAGAAGTTCAAGGCCGGGGCAGCATCACACAGCACGAAATGCATCGTACCTAGGCAAATCTGGGGAACATTGAGATGGTGTACAGGAGCCCATCTGCCAGCTAGCAACAACGAACGAAACTTCCACAACACAACGAGACGGCATCAGCAAACCCGGTCGATTGAGGCCAGTTTCTTCGAAGTAGACCCTAACGCTTCCAAACATATCTTGTCAGATGAGCGACTATCGCAGGAGGCAAAGAAGACGGATCGAAAGATCATCAAGGGGTGCTTTTGGCTCAGGTTGTCGCCTCTTCTTTTGTGCCCAGCGCCGCCTACTTCCTACTTCAACTTTTCAACACTTGCCGCCAGGGACTTAGCTGATACAGTCTGATAGAGGTCTGCAAGCTGCTCTGGCCGGGGACTCCGGAGATTGGAATACTAAATTTCTACGCATCTCGTGCCGATTCTTTTGTTCGAATTTACTGGGCTATGACGGGGTTTTTGGACGGTTTAGTAAGTCGTAGAAGTCTAGGTTGATGTCAGTGACGCTGCTGAGGGGGACGTGCGAGCCGCCACACACTGGTTCGAACTCTGATTGCGTCGAATTATGTGGCTCTGCCCACAGCTTTGAGAGCAACGCTGGAGGCGGCCGAATCTTGTGCCTGTCTGTTGGAAGAAGCACTGCCCAGCAATGCTGGGTATAAGCTCACTAGTTTTGTTCAGGGCCCAGCAGGCTGGAAACTGCACCTGTATGATGCCATCATGAGAAGCAAGTTTCCTTATGACCTTGAAACTGTTCATCTCTCACCATCGATGCAAAGAACGTAAGTCCCTTTCAAACGAGAAGGATTCAAAGGATCCTAGGCTTAGACTAAATAGCATGTATGTGACCCGAGCAGATACGAATGAGGTCGTACTCAGGAAGCGAATTAACAAATCAAGAAGCATAAACCCCACAGCGACGAGATGAAACTGTTTTCGGAGCCGGTTCAACATAAGTGTACCAAACTGACTAGCTGCTAACTAGCTGGCCATATTCATAGAGCTTGCGGGAAGGACCCACTAAGGCAAGTCAGCTACAGACCCAATTCCGGAGAAGCGTCTTGTACTACATGTCCGTTCAGGTGTGCAAAGCCAGTAGTTTTTCGAGCAAGCAAGACACTGGCAAACATAAGCCGACCCGCGTTCTGCCTCAGTTGGCAAAGAACTTTGGCGTTGAATAAAGGGACCAGACGAAGAAGTAGGCAGCATGGACGACAATGTTGCAGCTCCTACACCCTAAACCCTAGACCCTAACCCTAGACCCTGAAACCCTAAACAGGTCACCAGGTGCAGCAGAGATGCGAATCTACGGAGGACGCTCGATATTGCGCTCCGTCTCGCACGAAAGATGCACTTTGCGTGTAGTTTTGTGCAGATTCAAAAGTGTATATCTACATCTTTGTCTACATACACATTGGTGTGTGTGTATATATATATATGTGTATCTCTATCCATATCCGTATCCTCTACAGCTGCATCTGCATTTCTGTCTCTATCTCTAGCTCTGTCCCGATCTCTCTCTATCTATACCCATACGCATACCGATATCGGTATCAATATCTAGATCCAGAGCTATCTATCTATCTATCCACCTATTTATCTATCTATCTATCTTTCTATCTGCCTATCTATCCTTCTATCTGTCTGTCTGTCTGTCTATCTATCTCCATCCCTCTCTCTCTCTCTCTCTCTCTCTCTCTCGCCTATCTATCTATCTATCTATCTTTCATATATATATATGTATATAGACACACATACTTGGAGTTGTTGCTGTCCGCCAGTGCGGCTAAACCTTCAATTCCTTAGATGGAAGTGAAGTGTGAGATTCCCGTGAAGGACTCCAAAAGATAATGGCAAGGCTACAGAAGGAGTCGTCTGAAACCCGGCGAGTCTGTCAATAGAACCACGTGGCCACCTAGCTAAGGACAGGTCGATCCTCTGCAGCGACGACCCGTTTGAGGGGACGTCCTTCGGCAGAACACATTCGAAGCATTGGCGACCGGCCTTGGCATACTACTACTACTACTACTAC